TTATCAAGCATTGCCTAAAAGGACATTTCAATTGAAGGAACAACAGTATACATCAAGTATTCAGACACTGAGCAACCGTGGCTATCTATTGTTGAGGTGTGCAGTGCTGAATTATCTCAGAGACTATCTTTAACCATGAGCACTTGATTGCTAATGTAACTGTCTCAATTAATACCCAACTCTCTATACTACTGGTCAGTAGCAATAGTTTAGGCTAGCCATCATTGGGGCCCATACCATGTTGATGATGTGAATTGCAGAAATCACACAAAATGGCCAAAGGCTTCTCACCGCTTCCCAGGTCACTCATGCAGCGGAGATGTCCGTCAGCAAGAGATCAGCGCCCCCTTTCTCTCAAGCCAACACTTTGTTGATCCTGAAACCATCTGCTGTCCCATTGAAGGTAGTCTTTGGTCACAGGAGGATGCTTGGTCGTTCGTCCAGGCCGCGATGTCCCTGCTGTAACAGTGATGCAGTATCTGAAGCAACCGTCCAGGCGACACAGAGTGCAGCAGACCAGGAGGAAGGCTCTCTCTGTCGGCTCTTCAGTCTGCTTACACTCCCATTAAAAGTACACACAGAGTATGTGGCCTCCTCTGTGTCAGCGGCAGTCACACACCACTGTCTCCTTGACAGGGTTCTCCCGGACTGAGCGTGCTAAGCAGTCCCAGCCCAGAATCACCCCACCTCTCCAGACACACAGCCTCCTGGGAATTGCAGTCTCTACTCTCACCCACAGCACGGCTTGTCGTGATCTCTGAACTGCAATTCCCACAAGTTCCTGCATCACGGACAGTGCAAAGGTTAGTTATCTATTAACAACCAAATTATTAGCTATTCACGTAGCAACATATGTATATAGTGGCTACACAAGGAAGATGCAGGATTGAAGACTGGAATGCATAAGGATAAGGGTAACAAGCATAAAGCAGACTCAGCACACAGACAGAAGCAGGCAAACAAGAGAACTAGGAAACAAATTACAGACCAGCAGCAAGACAAAACAATATACCAACAAAAGTAACCAAAAAGTAAAAAGAGAACAGAAGAAACTAGCTATGACAAGACAAGACAGCATAAGTAAAACAACTAAGAGCCTCACCTGTATAGGTAGCCATCAGAGAAGACAACAGGACAAAGAGCAAGGAAGTAATAGTAGAACTGGGGTAACTGACAATATACACAATGAATGATGCACAACTCAAACAAGAAACACAAGAGCTGTAAAAGTATGAATCGAACGCAATTTGACTACAGTGTAGTTTTTTTGTTCTCTTCTTTCTCTCCCCTCCCTGCTTTTCATCTTTAGATGGAGCCAATGGGTTACCTTTTAGACTCTTGTGAGTCTGGATGCTTTACTAACTTTGCACATCTAAATCTCTCCTTATCCTCACTCTTACTACTTCTTTGAAAATGTCAAGACTACTGTATGGTTGTAGTGTTTTTATTTTTCTTATCAGCCATTTCATACATATGCTCATTTGCTTGATATATTGTATGTATACTCATTAAGACATGCCTCTTTATGGTTTAGAATTTTTCTGTACTGCTGACATTTCTTTATTATACCCATTTCTTGATTAATAAAGTTATTTAAAAAACAGGATGAAAAAGAAAGAATGAATAAAGCATGCGGGACAGATACCGAGTTGTAGGCAAGACTCAAATTCAAGATGGGTATAACTCAGAATACCAAACACAAGCTAAGATAATATGCTAGCAATTCCATGAAGCAGAGATCAGAGACTAATTATCTACAAGGCAGCCTAGGCAGCAGACTGAGGCCTGATGCATGTCCAGGGGCTTTGCTACAACCACAACAAGCTCTGAAATTAGACCATGGTGATAGAGCAACTGATAAAAATATTTATGTAAAACATATTAAAATATTATTACTTGGAATTTACCAATTATTAACTAAAAAAAATGTCAAATAATATTCTGCAAAACCTACAAATTAAGTGTACAGTATACTATTACATATGGGGGAGGTTAAACCTCATGTGTACTTGTATTATGCCAGCACCAGGAAGCAGCTTTAAGATATAAAGGCATTTATTCTTTTTAACCTACCATTATAATTTTTTCATTATGCTCGCACACGTGAGCTGTTTAGTGCATTGATGTTGGACAGAAAGTCTTCTATTTATATAGATATGGAGGAGATCATAACAAATGTTTGCTGCAGACATAGGCGGATCCCTATGCCAGATATTCCTCTCAGACTGTTTTGAGTTTTGTTTTTGCTGATGGGGGATAAATTGGCAAGAATGGGGTGATAGATATGATCTGTTTTACAGAACTATTATATATTGTGTGTATGGCATCTAGTGATCCCCCCCTACTACTTGACTATGCTAATGTGGAAGAATCTGAAATGCAATTGTATGCTATACTGATTGTGCATCATGTGCTATTTTATTGTTTTATTCTACTTTGGAAAATTAATAAAATACTTTGAAAGATAACCTACCATTATAAATATGTATTTCACTCAGAAAGGTAAGCAAGGCATTCTAGGTGAGATGACCCTTCAAGTTCATTGCCTCAGCTGACTGGGGAAGAAAAAGGTGCATCAGAAGGCTCCTCCTCTTAAAGAACTGGTACCTGTAGGCACCTCTTTAGGAAGCAGACTGCTGTGTGTAGAAGAGCATTGACAGCAAAGTTACAATTTTACCTACTCTGGTACTACGGGCCTCCCTCCCCCTCTTAAGAAGGGAAAACACGCTTGAGACCTACTCTGTGGGCCCAGGTGAGCACTCCTTTGTAATTTGTGCATTCACTTTGTGGAGGTGAAGGATTTATATATTCAAGTAAAGTTCAACCAAAAATAGATTATTCTAAATTGGGACAGGATTCAATACTCAGCCAAGATGTTAATTAGCTCCTGGCACCACTGTGGTTTAGGTTTAAAGAGAAACCCCAGTTTTGTAATATATTGCAGCTTACTAGTCCTCAGAGGTAGTGACTGTATTAGTTTTCTTTGTTTAGGCTTTTTGTTACCTTTATTTTCAACCTGGTAGTTCTGTGAATAACATACTTCCTACAAGCTGGACTTGCCTGGCATTGTTCATCTCCATTAAATGGTGGATTGATGGAACTAATAACTAACACAATAAATATAAGTTTCAAAATCAACAGGTATTTTTTGTACTTGCTAAAAATGCTCTTAGCCTGAAAAGTGAAAACTAATGCAGCCACCACATCTAAACACTGGTAAACTACAAAATATTAAATGTGGTAGCGGTGCCATTGAATTCAATGCACCGCCACGCCCCCTTCTGCCCCAGAACGCAGGTGGAAGTTTTGTGAGGGAGATCTCGGAGATTTCCCCGAGATCTTGTGAGATTACAGCTTTCCGCTCTGGAACGCACTGCATTCGGTGTGAACAAGCCCTTAAGATGAAATTGATAATTTAAGGGGTGCCTGTCATCTGACTTCAAGCTCTGTATAGACTTCTGGAAAAAGTTGGGAAGGGTTGAAGCATTTCAAGACTGTAATGGTAGCAAGGTAATATGAGAAGTATGATTTCTATTGGTGGGAAATCATGGCTAGCTTTAAAGTTGAACCTAAAAGTCAATTTAATAACATTTACGGTAATGGGGAAGTCCCCTTGTGTATACAAATATTACTCAGATGTCGGATGCTCCAGACCCCTGACGAAGTCACGCTGGACGTAACGTACATAGGGTGGAGCATCGGACATCATCACTTCAGTGGAGCCGGATGGATAGGAGCTGCATTGCATCTGCTGTACTCAAGTGCATTGAGGGAATCCCCTGTAGGAATCTTTTATGCTGGCTATTTCTTGCCATTGTGTGTATTATCTAATACATTTTATATTTGTGGATGGTAAGCACTATGTGTCTTCTGCTTTGTTTCTTCTCGATCTGATGAGAGTATCTACGACCTGAAAGGATCTATTTTACTCTGGTACTACGGGCTTCCCTCCCCATCGCACATTATTGAATACAAATATAATAACATTAAACTACTATTTTTTTCTATAGAAATTATTTTTTTTAATGTAAGTTTTCAAGGACAGCAGAGTTTCTGTAGCAGCAGTATTATGTGGTTTCAGATAAATTTACTCCAGCACAGGGCAAGTGACACCACTGCATTAAAATGGACCTTTACTCATATCTTTAAAATAACAGCAAACACACCTTTAGAAATGTTTAGTAATGACAATCTACAAACACATACTTCTAGACAACTGCTGGCTTTGTATTCTTTGCATACCTTATTTCTCTTTTCTTCCCCAGTCTTCTCACAGTGGCCATGTTTTCTAAGGGCAGTTTACTAGCTCTCCTTTTACTTCCTGGATTTCTGGCACATGTGACCATGCACATCATCTCAGGAGAGGAAAATGCCTTTCCCAGAGATCTTGTGAGATTACAGATGAGATTTCCCAGCAATGCTCTGCTAATGACAAGGCAATGCCAGTGTGCAATGCTTTTGCAAACTGAAGTAATTTTGCCTTTATAAAGCAGGAAGTGGATGCTCTGCAAGTGTAAGTATTTCACAATCACAGCATTTTACACCTGACATGTCTATGTTATTATTAATCATCATACATAGAGGGATGCACTGGTAGAATTTGATTTTGGAGTGTAAAGGTCCGCTTTAATGATTTGAGATCGAACAGGGTTATTCACTAAATGGTGAACAGTTTGGAGAAGGTAGGAGAAGTGAACAATCTAGGACAACACAGCTGAACTGGAAAGTGAGCCGAATTGGAAAATTTTTCCAAATCAGCCATATTGTCCTAGATTGTTCACTTCTCCTGCCTTCTCCAAACTCTTCACCCTTTATTGAATAACCCTGTATGTCTTTGACATTTGGATGGTGTTTTCCATCTGCAAGTTCTGACACATTTCCATATGAATCTGTAAGAGTTATGACTTGTTCAATCACATAAGCCAAGTTTTATTAGTGGTTTACTGGTCCTTTTATTTAACTTAAATTATAATACTGGTTTAAGAGCTGGTACCACATACCTAGTTATAATGTCATCATCCTCATGTGATGTCTCCTTTCCCAGGTGGCAGTCACTGTCGCTTCCATAACCAGATTTTAAATCACGATCCGCAGATTCCATCAGCTCTAAACGTTGGGTAATGCTGCAAATTCTTGTGCCTGCACGCAGTGGCATTGTGTGCGAAAACTGCCAGCTTCCTCCACCACTTTCTGAGCGACAACCACCAAGAGAAGGAGCTTCCCCAGCTTGCAGCCGTGGGCTAGCCTGTCCATAACGCCAGGATACAGGTGAAGAACGATTGGAGAGGCTGGAAATACTGCGAGGGTTGGCATCATCACTGTCGTAGCAAGGCATATCTAAGGAACTAAACAAAACAAAAAGGCAATTCTATTGACCAAATATATATATACTTTGAAACATGTAAACAATAAGTACTTAGCTTCGGCTGGGGAAAGCATTTGGTTCGGCTGAACCAAATGGCTGCTGCACGCACTATTCCACCCCCGACAAATAAAGCACCCTCCCAAAGTCGAGGGCATGTGGCCTGGTATGGGGAGGGGGGCACATGTTTGTCCCCCTCCTTTCTTGCTTTGCCAGGTCGCTGCTCGGATTAAGGGTCTGGTATGGTATTTTAGTGGGAACCCCGTGTTTTTTTTTTCTTTTCCTGGCTTTGGGGTCCCCCCTAACATTCCTACCAGACCTAAAAGGTCTGGTATGAATTGGGCAGGGGACTCCACACTGTTTTATTTTTGTTTTGTTTACAGCAACATTTTTCATTCTGCTTCACTACCTCTGAGATAGTGAACAGAATCACTGAACCGAACAAAGAACCGACCGTTCGGCTATTCACTCTCTGCTATTTCACCCCTTGGAGAATAGGAGTGAACAGCAGGGAATGAACTGCTGAACATTCGCTTCAGCCGATCCAGATGTTGCAGATGAGCTGAGGCTGTCCGGCCAAACCGAAGGGAGGTGAAGCGAGCCAAATGCAGCCGATGTACGGCTAAAAATAGCCGTTCATGGCTGCAGTGATTAGCCGAAGAGGCTTGGGCTCACTTTGGTTCAGCTTGGTTATTCCTTCGGCAGCTTGGTGAATAACCCGCTAAAACTTTTAAACATCAAGAAGCATCATCCATTGTAAGTGATTTAATCGGCATTTGAAAAAGCTTAAAATCCTTTTGACTTTCATATCACTTTAAGCAGAGGGATTCCTCTCTTAGTGTGCTTTACATAGCCGAGCAGACTAAAGCCTTACCTTAAAGCATGTTAGCAACAGAACACTACTTTGTTGAATGTTCACACTGCACTGCCAGATTTGTTCCGAGAGGATTTAACTACTTTGTATTACTACACACTAAAAATACCTTTAACATGTTCATGAGGAACAGATTTCCAGACTTTTACCCAAAATTGTAATTCACCTTAGTATAGAAATACCAAAGATGACATACTGAAATGGTCAGTAAATAATGTGTAAAAAATGGTCTGTCTTTACAGCTTGCTTATGTACATTTTCTAAATAAGCATGTCTGCCAGTATTTGTTGGCCAAGAGAGCTCAATGTGTATGTGCGTTTGTAGCCATGGCTGACAAGTATATATGAACAGCTGCAGTGTATGTGTTTGTGTGTTTGTCTGTAGACAACCTAGATCTGTTTTCATAAGGATCAATAAACCCTGTGCCAGGCACATTTCTTTACTGAATCAATAGTTAAATGCGACAAACAGGTATCGAACTGGCAGCACAGGCAATGCTTAATGGTAGTGCTGCTAGGTTTTACAAAATGCAAAAGCCATCTAAAAAAAGTTACTCTTTTTGGGACGTTGACTACAATATGTATGATGCTTCCTTTGTGTCATTGCCTCAGTCACTGCAACACCTCCGAAAATTTGTGAGAACTAACGAACACTTGAGAATTCAGGTTATCATCAACTTAGAATCAGGTGTTCCAGATTAGGTGCCAACGCACAGAATCGCACAGAATCCTCCTGAACCTCAGATATCTATGGTCTGGTGTTCCCCTTGTTATTGGTATGTGTTGTATCACCATGTTAAAATAAAATAAAAAAACGAAAAGGCCCTCAGAAAGCGTGTGAAGTCTGGCAAGGGATTTAAAAAGATTGCCAAATCTAATATCAATAATTCTACTGTACGGAAAATAATTTAAAATTAGAGTTTGATGATAACAGAAGTCTTCAAGAACCCTGGAACTGAAGATAACGCTTGAAAGAACTAATGTCAAAATTCAATGTTATGGTTTTGGGTTGCTTTGCTGCGTTAGGGCCTGAAATGGATCTTTCAAAACAATAATAATTCCAAAGCATACAACATAACAGGATCCACCAAGCTTTGGCTTAAAAAAAAGAAATGGAGAGTTATAGCCTGGCCTTTTCAAATTTTTGCATGGAGGGGTGGTTGAAAATTGTATTTGATTCGAGAGACTGGTGCTCAGCACCCACAAAAATAAATTTCTGCTAAAGGAAACAAGCTATGGCTGGGTCCTTCGGCTCCTTTGTGAATAGCCCCCTTAGTATTTATTAAAGAAAACAATCTTGAAAAAAATGAATAGAACAAATTGTAAAATATTTGTTTGCCAGTGTCCAATTCCACCTGAAGGCAGTAGTATAACTGTCTCAAAATAACTGAATACTGTCCCTTAATGAAAGGCATACAGTTATGAAGGCACTATTTTCCTCCTGACCACGCTATTTAATCTACACTTAACAGACTAGTTCACAGCTTTGTTGATCTGCTGAAAGCCATTCTATTACTATTATACCATCACTTATATAAATTGTAAAACAAAGAACTAACTGAAATAAAATAATTCAATTATTGTTATGTAATGGGTAATAGGTCACCTACCTGTGTGTTACCTGAGAACCTCGTAGGCTTGACATGGTTTCCTCTAAGTTTTGCCTCAAATCCAAGACATTTTGAACAGTTCGTTTCCTCTGAGTCTCAGGATCTAGCAAAACATAAAGACAGAATATGAGCACAGAGCAGTATATAAACCATTACCATCTCTTCACTAGACATTCTCCAGAACATCAATATGGTGACAACTACATTACTAAAATGCATTAATTACAGACAGTTTCTTTCTTGTTGAATTTAGTATTTAGAGGAGTCTGAGGGAGGTGTCACTTTCTTTACCTCAGCATATGATCTCAGACAAACTTCCCACAGCAGGTTTGAATTAGTGCCTCTTTCGGGGCCTCAGTGCTAGAATTAGAGATCCTAGGGAGTAGAATGTTAGTTTAAATCATGGGTTGGGACCCTCAAATTACCCCTTGTAATAAGTACTTTAAAAAGTGAGAAAAGAGATACCATATATTTAAAGCAGCCATTTGTTAGAACTTCTATTCCTACCAGTATGTAGAGATACTCCTACAAAATGCATAGCATTCAAATTCCATGCTGATAGTCCTAGTGGAAACTAAAGTTACAACCATAGATTTAGAAAGAAGGAATGCAAACTGTGTTAACCGAGAACTCACATGAAAGAAACAAAGCACATACGCCTGACATGCTGATATGGATATATGCATTGATTTCTTTAAACTGTTTTCCTGATTTGTTTATCTTCCATGAAAATGTTGTCTTGTGGCCAATATAGGCAGTTATGACGTACACAGACAGATAACATGACGTGCTACTTGTGCTGCCACGTTCAGTCCTATAGGTTTCCCAATGGTGTCCTGGGTTTTTCTGTACCCCAGACTCCCAATCACTCAGCAGCTGAAACTGAATTAATGCATTAATATAGGTCCCTTTCATCCCTGTCAACCTTGAGCTACATACATATTATTTCATGTATGCACATAAAGAACTTCAGCTTTGTAGATGCATTGAAAGGCATCCTTAACAACTTATAAGACTCATGTTGCATTTCACTTTACTTTAGCAAAGGCAGATAAAATTATTTTGCCCATATTATGTGTTATGGTACTCATAGACTCCCTGACAAGTTTTACAGAACTCCATTGAGAATCCCTGCGAGGACTTCCAGAAGACCCGACGGTACCTCCAATGGTAGTCACAGGAGACCTTCCATTACTTCTAATAGCCCTCATAGAGCCCAGGCCAGTAAGACCAATGATAGTCATAGAATCTGGACCAGAACATCAAGAGTGCCCTGAAGGTAGCTGAGCGTGTCATTTCTAATTCAAACAGGTATTTAAGTCCAGCTCTGCAAGGGGATGGTGTTGTATCTTCAAGACAGCTTTCTGTGTGTACAAGAGCTATAATACTATTATTTGTTTCCTGTTGCTGACCCAGACTTTCTGACCTCTCTTCGCTTGCTGCTTTGCCCTGATATTCTGCCTGAATCCGATTACGCTCCTGTCTCCTGACTTACTGATTGATTTATTATTTGCTGCCAACCAAGATCGTCTGGCCACTCTCTGTTAGCCTCCTGACTCGACCCTTGTCTGGATCCGACTATGTTCTTGTCTTCTGACTTTGTCTCCTACCTACTGGCTGCTGATCTGGACCATCCAACCATTCCCTGGCTCTCTTTCCGGGATCTCTACCTTTTTCTGACCACACTCCAGATCACTGTCACCTCATTGGAGCCCTCCTGTCCTCCTCATTCCTTGGTAGGGCAATCCTGGGGCCGAGACCTGGCACCAGCAAGCAGCAAACCCATCTCCACCATCAGAAGCTCTGGTGAAAACTGGCTGGTGCTTAGACTCCGCGCCTTGGGTGAGCCCGTATCACCTGCTCGGGGGTGTCACCGTAACATTATTCTGCACAAGCATAAACCTTATGTCAGGCTTTCTTCATACTAATGTTTAAATTAAAAAAACATAAAAATAAGTACAAGGTACATTAAGTTGCCAGTCCACCCAAAAGAATATTGTCATGAAGTCACTAATACTGAGAAAGCCCTGCTTTTTATAAATTCCACAATCTGTTCATATCTACCTAGGAGGTTTGGGTGGTCCATCCACTTTATGTGTTTCAGCTCCTTCTGGTGAGTTTCTCATGATTTAAAAAAAAAAAATGCACAGATCCAGTAACTCAAGCACAAGTATCCTACTAATCTGCAGCTGCTAGGTGGTTTAACTTTCCAAAATTTGCAACAGATCAATATCAGTTTTTGCTGCAGTGGTCCTTTAATTATTATATAATACATTAATAAACTTGGCCCTCAGCTTTGTGTAAGTCTCAGGTAAAATATTCTTCCAGTGGTCAATATATAAAAAAGTCCAGCATGCAGTAATGGTCAATACTTAACATGCTGTTCAGGTGTAAGAAACCTACATAGAAAACACAACAGGAAATGTAATAGTGTGAAGAAACCATTAAGAAATCTACATATGTAGTATGATCACACACCTCATAAACGATGCCAAAAATAAATGCTATCTAAATAACAAATATAAATTAATTGCTACTACTGTTTACAAATGGTTGTGTAAAAGCAACATAAAACTCTACAGGGAAATGTTTCCTGTACACAGTTCCTTGCCAGTACTCCCAATTCAGTACACTTTCAGACGCCTGTAATAGTCATCTACCCTAAAATTGTTCACCAGAGAACAATATGCTGTCCACAGCTGCACTGAAACTGTGAAAACAACAGGAAAAGTGACTATACCAGACAGTGTAATTAATCATTTGTTAGGATGTCCATACACTGCCCAAAACACGAAGCAATGTTATCAATTCAAGCAGCAAAGGCTAAAGCTCCACCAAAAAGGGTAGATTAGAACAGGATTCAATTCTCTGCCAGGTTGTTCCACAGTTTCACCTAACACCACTGTGGGTTGGGTTTACCGTGAAGCTCCAGTTTTGTTAAATATAAAGTAAATTTTAAAAAAAACCCACCAACCTTGTTCTGAACTATAGACATTGTCCAGAGTAACACTAGGAAAGAGATTTTCCTATATGTCGGTAAATGGAGTATTTATTTGCCAGATATAGCCAGCCTTTATATTTCCTCTGGTAAAAGAACAATAAAGAATTCAGCATGAGTCAACCACTGTCAGTTCTAAAGAAGATCGCAGTGGGATCTGTAAGAGTATGACTCATTGGGGTATGGACAAATGTATCATAGCTGCTCATTTGTGGTAAGACATCTACCCATCTATGGCCACTTTTAGGAACAGGCCAGTTGTTTTAAGTATTTTTTGTAGTATCAATATATGCATTCAAGTAGTATTTTACTCTCAAACGTTTTTTAATTATGCATATAGATCAAACATATACACATTGCCCAGCATAGTATTTCTTTATATTTTTCCCCAAGCACTTACAATGATCACGTTTTCAAACAGCTGGCTCCAATTCTGTCAGCTCAGCTTTCCTGAACTTCCTGTCCAGTACAAGTTCACAAGGGACAGAGCAGTCTCCAGCAGCCATCCATCTACTAGCATGGAGAAAGGAGAAGGAATGAGGAGCAGGAGGAAGGGGCTTGCCTTGTTGTGTCTGTGTGTTTGTGGAAAAACACACAGCTTTCTGGCATACAAAAGGGTGGCTCCATAGGACTCTGTAAGGGAAAGGAGCCACCCTAAAAAAAGATATCAGGGCTAGTGCTCAGAGGACCAGCTGATTCTGCAGGAGCAGAAAACTACAACTTTTAAACATCAAGAAGCAGAATCCGTTGTAAGGGATTTAATCAGCATGTGAAATCGCTTATTTTTTTAAAACTTTAATATAATGTTAAGAGGGCGAATTATAACCCTTTCACATAGTGATCAGCTATGCAAACGAGAGTCTATGTACACTAGGTGGTGACAAAGAACACATGTTTATAAATAATTCTCTAAAGCTGCATTTTTCTGCCCCCCTCCTTAGGCGGCTGCCTATACAGCCTTACGGTAGCGCTAGCCCTGCATAGACATCCCATAAAGCAGCACTCCAAAACAAAACAAACAAAACTAATAGGAGATCTGAGATCATGGTACAGGTCAAACCAATTATCTTAAAAGAATTTAGAAAAAAGGAAAACCGCCATGTCTTCATTAATCCTGCGACATCCATTGTGGGGTTGATGGTGGCAAACATTCTCTGTAATAAAATTTTAGTAGGCATTACACTGACCACCAATGTGACGGAGGTATTCTCACTTACCACCAATGTAATGGAGGTATTCTCACTGGCCACCAATGTAACGGAGCTATGCTCACTGACCACCAATGTAACGGAGGTATTCTCACTGACCACCAATGTAACTGAGGTATTCTCACTGACCACCAATGTAACGGAGGTATTCTCACTGACCACCAATGTAACTGAGGTATTCTCACTGACCACCAATGTAACGGAGGTATTCTCACTGAACACCAATGTAACAGAGGTATTCTCACTGAACACCAATGTAACTGAGGCATTCTTACTGACCACCAATGTAACGGAGGTATTCTCACTTACCACCAATGTAACAGAGGTATTCTCACTTACCACCAATGTAATGGAGGTATTCTCACTGACCACCAATGTAACTCCTAGGCATGGGAAAGCAAGACACTCCCCTGATCCCTGCTCCTCCCTTTTCCAAGACAGTAGATGGATGGCTGCTAGAGACTGTGCTCTCTCTTGTGATCTTATACTCAACTCAACAGGAAGTTAAAGGAAGGGGAGTTGAGAAATTTGGAGTTTGGAAACATAATGCCTGAAATTGCTTGGGTAAAAAAAAAAAAGAAAAAATGTGGGCAACGTACATTTGCTTGATCTTGAGAGTTTAGTTTAATCAAAGTTTATAAGGTTTATACAATGATAAAGTCACAAAGAGACAAAAACATAAAGCGAAACTCAAATTTCACCAAGTTTCGGTATTTAATAGCAACAATCACATGGCTAGATATAGAAGGACCTGGTGTCCAGAATTCAAAGCATAGTGGTACAACACAAAAGGAAACGTATAACAGATAAATACGGGAATGAGGTAGATCTGTCAAAGAAAGGAGAAGGACTAAGAGAGAAGAGAGTTAGAAAAAGAGATGAAAACATAAGAGAGAG